GTGTTATAATTACAGCTTCAACTTGCCCATAGAGTGAGGTCGGTCGGTTGTGAAGAAAAGGACTAGTGGTTTACTAAATCAGCTGCTGGTAAGCTATGGATTTGTGAGCAAAGGACAGCAATCTATAAAATGGCTCTAATGCAATTGGCAACTTGCTAATGAAATAAAAAGCAGAATTATATTGTTATTATTAACAGTAGTAACAGTAGCAATAAAGTGAATGAAAACTCTAAATTTAAACCACCGCTTCCTTTCGGCCATAAACAATCATGGGAAAGGCTTCGGGAGTACGCCCTGAGGACAAATCCGGATCGAGAGTCCCTAAAACAGTCCGATATTATGTTCACCTTTGTTCCAACAATCCCGGCGACCGATACCAAGATGTATTGGCCTCTAGCATTTACCTGCACAAGTATCTGAGGCATAACTCGTTTGGTGCAGATGCATGGACTCTCGAGATCGAGGATACTACATACATATACAGACTCCGCTGCTCCCATCCCCCACAAAAAGTATACATATTTCAAGAAAGAAACGACTTATGTTTCGTAGTTTATTCAAATTGCGATATCATTGTTTGCTTTAGTGTTTTCTCGGCAGATAACGTTACCCGTATGGCTGTAGCATCTTAGATAAATTGAAAATACATCTGCTGCAATCCCACTGGACATTCTGACCAACGTTGCCCAAGCAGTAAATTGCCGTACTAATAAATATCTGGAAGCTAAAGGTCACCATTTTGAGCATCACTTTTGAGGGTAGAGCTCAAAGTTAACTTGTACTAATCACATGATTTCTGAATAAACTTAGTATTACAATACCGATACAAGTTTTTTCTTTCTTGAAATGTGTATAAATCTTTTTGGTGGAATCTGTACATAAACATATAATAGTAATATTTAATTATATATTTAGTAGAGAGTTTATCTAATTTTCTTATTTTTTATTATCTTTTTCTGCTTGGTAACAATTAATATTATCGTTTTCATTATTTTATTTTCCATAAATAATTATTATTGTTAAAAACAACACATTAATTAATGAGTAATTAAAAATCTTAATTAATATCAATAAGAAGTTATTTTTTGTTTTGTTTCTGTTTTGTTTTTTACACCAGTTCGCCGCCAAGAGTTTAATATTTATTTTTTTCGTGGTCGTAGAGAGAATCTTTCCAGTTGTTTCTTTGTATTCTGCTACAGCTATTTAGTTATGTGATATATTTTTTAATCTCCTGCTTAGTAATCGCCTTCTTTTTCCTGTCATTCTGATTCACTTGATTGCCCTCCTGACAGCGACTTCGATTTTTCCGACAAAAACCTCCCCGGAAGAGACTGAAGATTTTAAATGCACGGGAAGTGAAGCAAACAGCTGGATTAATTAATAGATAAATACATTTGAAATCAAGAGCATGAAATAAAAACTGTTCTTAATGATTTATTCAAATTGGTGTCGCAGGTGGCTTGCTTGTGAATAATAGTGGAATTTTGGATAAAGTATTTTGTTCGAAGCCACTTGAAGTGTCGAATATGAGCATGGGAAGATGGAAAATAAATGTAAGAAAAACTAAAAGAACAAAGAAAGAACTGATAGAATTCTTTTTTTTCAACAATGAAACTTATCAAGGAAGCACACACGACGAGTAGATTTGAAATAAAAATGGCGTTCGAATTGTCACATGACAGGAAGGAAGTTGGGGTCCTCACCAGGAATTGTAAAGATTTCCCAAAGCGCCAAATTTAAGTTTCATATCAATTTCTTGTTTCATTGCAAAATGGAAAATACAGACAAATGAAAATATAACATACATACACATTTATATATGTATGTGTGTGTGTTTGCGTGTGTACCTGGGTACACACTGAAATGTATTTACACACTAACTCAACATTATGTGAAAGTTAATTCTAACCCAGTATATGTACATTCTAATTCTAACCACCACATTCTGTTATTAAGCGCATACACTCCCTCCATGGAATTTAGGATAAGTATTAACTCTTCTAGCAAAGAGGTTTTTCATATGTTTAACTTTACGAGTTTACTTTTTGTATGAATAATTCATTGTATATATATATATATATATATATATATATATATATATATGTGCGTGTATATAAATATATATGTTAATTTATATTTATTTCTATGTGTATATATATATGCTTATATATATATATGTATGAATATATATATATATATATATATATATATATATATATATATATATATATATATATATAAAGAAAGAACAGTAAGATATATAATCCGATGTTCTTATAGATATTTTTATTTTTGCAAAATAGTGCTCAATGTAAATTTTCAGAGCATTAATATTATAAATTAATTGATTAATTGATTAAAAATTTGTTTTTTTTCGCTACACAGTTCTAACCATGTTTCAAAAATAGAAGCTAAAAGCTTCGAATTTAATTTTGTAATTAAATTAAAGACATTAGTTCCATTTCATCCTCAAGCGAATTTTGGAGTAACTTTTAAAATTACTGGGTTTTAAAGGCACAGTAAAAATCATAATTTACGTTTCCAAGGATACAGAGAAAATCCAATTCAACCAGACAAGGGGTGTTTGCGTGTTCATTATCGCTGTATTTAGATGTATCAGTTATTAGTTACGTTTTGGTAGGGTTAGGGATGTATTTTTCAATGAAATCTGACATCCGTTAAATGCATGTCGTCTGGATTTAAAAAAAAAAAATTGTTAACGGTACAATTTCTTACGGCATTTTTTCTCTATTTGTATACTTAAAGATTTGGGTGGGGGTAGGTTAGAATACGTTTTATTTAACTACGATTTAAAAAAATCACTTTTAATTTTTAATATACTATATTTCTTTTTAAACAAGTAAATGTATTAGAATCACTTACAGTATGTAAAATTATTTTCACATCAAATATAAGTATGTATATTACTAGGTCATAATTTTTTTTATATAAATTTATATTTAAATATTACTTAAGTAAAAATTAAAATTTTTGACAATGACGGCAAAAATAGCTAATTAATTTCTCTGATTTAGTAAACTTTCATTTTTTATATATTTTATATAAATCCAGTAATATATAGTTTCTCATGTCAGTACAAAGAACATGGGTCATTCAATGTCTTCTAGCTTTTCATATTTTCATTTTACTGTAGGTGTTTTATTGGATTCTTTTAAGTGCTTGTAGTACTTTGAGAGAGGTATTTAGGTTAGAATATATTTAGGTTTAACTACAATTTTAAATGCAACATTAAAATATTTTCCTGTTAATTTTAATAGACTATATATATATATATATATATATATATATATATATATATATATATATATATATATATATATATATATATATATATATATATATATATATATACGTGTATGTATATGTGTATATGCATATTTATGTATGTTTCTATTTGTAGTGATGAATGTGTGTACAAATACGTATGTATGTTTTATATATATATACACACACACACACACACATATATATATATATATATATATATATATATATATATATATATATTGTTATATATTTGTAATCGTGTGTGTACTCATGCGTATATAAGTATATATGAGATTTTATATATATTTGTGTGTTTATGTGTTTCCTTTTTTATATATCAGCTGGTTTTATTTTAAGTGTTGCATTTTGTCTGGACATTTGAATTTTTTTTGTTTGTGTGTATGCATATATATTTATTTTTCTAACCATTTCTATATATTTTAGAGTCTTTTTTTCTTTACGTTGTTCATTTACGAATATTTGTTTTTCTATTCTACCCCTCTTAAATTTTATATATTGAACCATTTTTATCTATACATTTTTGCCCATGTAAGTAATATTTTAATAATATGAATTCGTTTACTAACACTTTCAAATTTGAATATTTGTGGGTGTGTATATATGATTGTCTTTATTAATGTATGTGTTTATGATCGCATATATATGCCTTTCATTGTATGTATATGTTGCCTGGGCTTTCTTCTTATTTTTAAAGGTCGTGGATATCTATTTCCTGTTTCGTTCTTGTTTTTGCATGTTTTTATATCTAAATGTTTCCAAGTGTTTGTGTATTATAATCTGATAATATATGTATTGTATTTTCCAAGATCCTCCCTTGCCCATATCACCACTTCAAATGTATCTAAGTTGTAACGAAGATTTACATACACATTAGGTTTTAATATTTATTCTGTTTTTTGGCCTTTCAATTAAAACAAAATAAATTATACAATATATTTTTCCTCACTTACTTCTTTAAATAATTTTATATTTTAAACTTAATGCAGATTAAATTTAATATTGGTAATTTTTAATTTTCAATTTTATAGTAAATTTTAATATTAATTAGTTAGAATAATTTCTATTTTAGTCTATTTTAAGGCATTAATTATTATAGCCAAGGTTCGTTGTCAAGTTTTTTTGAATTCTCATATACTTGTATTTTGATCGGTCAGTGAAGCTTATGTAGCAGCGTTTTCCCTAGCGAGGGTTTTTTTTTCGATTGATTTGAACCTTTTAATACCCTTTATTCTACATTCAACACAATCACTTGATAAAACGCCAGTAATGTTGAAACAAAATGGCTATTTTTATAGTGATTTTATAAAATATTTATGTTATAATTTTCGAATAATATATATATATATATATATATATATATATATATGCGAGTGTGTGTGTGCGCGCACGCGTGTATGTTAGTGCGTATTGGTTAGTTATTGCTTTTGAGACACATATCGACTTTTATGGCATATTTAATGCGGAAATCTAAATATTTTGTACGCGATTTTTGTCTTATTTTGGGATATAATAATGATGTAGTGATACAAATCTTAACATTTAACCCATAGCTGGGGGAGAGGAGGATCATTTATACCCTTCCCAAGGGTATTTCCGTGCCAGAGAATATAAAGGACTCAACTGGAATTTAAACTCGGATATCTGATTAACAATTCCGAGCTATTGCCCATTACAGCACTGGCGCATCCAAATTACAGCACCTGGTATTCCCAAGCGGTCACCAATCTAGGTACTGACCGAGTTCGACGTTGCTTAATTTCGGGGGTTGCAATGGATCCGGTGTTTCAATGTGATGTGGTTATAAGCCTCGCTAATTTTCTCTCTCTCTCTCTCTCTCTCTCTATATGTATGTGTGTGTGTGTCTGTGTGTAAATATTATCTAAAATTATGAAATGAAATGAATGTATGTTGGCATTTATCTGTAGAGTCACTCGAAAGAAATATGGCAACGGGACGAATTTGAAGTAGGAGTACTATGGGTACATAGGATTAGGAAGAAACATTACACACGCTTTCTCAGTATTTCCCCTTTGGGAACGCCTCAGGCAGTAGGGATTAGCTCAAGCACACCCCCTTATGTAAGGTACTGCCCCCTGGAGATGAGCTTAAGGATAAGTAGCCCATAACAAATACGGTTTGCTATTTTCCGTACGCCTACTCGAATGGAATATGGTACGTGTCCGAGTTTAAAGTGGAAGATCCACGCGTACATGGAAGAGGGAGAAAAATTGCTCGGTTTCTTTTGCCATTTCCCTTTGAGGAAAGGTAACTGCCCGGGGGTGTTCCTCTTCAGTTGAGTATGATGATAATGGAAAAAAATTTGCGACTTTTGCGTCTTCTTTTTTCTTTTCTTTCTCTTCTTCTTCTTCTTCTTCTTCTTCTTCTTCTTCTTCTTCTTATTATTATTATTATTATTATTATTATTATTATTATTATTATTATTATTCATTTGCATATTCAATTTAAAAAAAAGAAATAGACATTGTATTTGCATCAGGTCTTCTGTGATCTGTCCATTTTTATGAGGGGGTTTGTAATTAATCAAATTAATGTTTTACAATATTTTTCGACATATGACATTCGCCTTTGCTTTGCTGCCATATCTTGCCCTAGTGTTTTTACTATATATTTAGAGACTCTTGACAAAATCTAAAGAATAATCTGCAATGTTATTGATCCTGATATTGTATCATGGCTTCAGTCCCGTTCCCACCCCCCCTAACGTACCTTCCCTGTGATATTTCTATAAACACTTTCATGCTAACTTTTCTGATAAACATTCCTCTATGGTACCTAGACTTTATGAATTTAAGCAGAGTATTAGATTGGCGGCAATGTCTCATCATTTTGAAGTTGAAATGGCTTCATGTAAGCGTAAGTTCTGTGCTAGCAGCTTCTTCTCTGGTAATTCTCAATTGTGGCACATTCTTCCGGTTTGTTGATCTTCAAAAATTTAAATGTAGTGTTAGTTTTTACCTTCCTTGTTCTTTTATTTTCCTCTCTCCTTAGTAGAAGTTTTTTTATCTTACTCTCTAACACTCAGTGACCGCTTTTGCGTGATAGTGGCTTTATTACCTTACTTGGACTAAAATTATCTAAAAAAAAGGAAATATCTAAGAAAAATAACTGCTAGTGTGTATGAACTTTCCAAATGACAGCGATTTCTTCCTCACCAAACTTTGTGCCTTATCAAGTACACCATCCATATATATATATATATATATATATATATATATATATATATATATATATATATATATATATATATATATATATAGGTAGTTAGTTAAAAAAGCGACACCTAAGTTTTAAAAGCATTTTCAAAACGGAAAATCTTTCTTAGAGTTTTTGTTTTAATTCCAAGTTAATAGATTAAATTTAATGTTTCCGATAATCAAAACAGTTTATTTCAAACCGAATTCAAACTGATTGAAATGATTTATTTTATTATTAATAAAATTGCTAATATTGTCCATATTGACAAATCTGTCAACACAGCATAAACATATTTGGTGAAGAATTTAAATTGAAAACAAATATTAAATTTATTTTGAAATATCATTTTACAGAGAGATGACAGTGTTTATGAAGTGTTGACGCTTCTATGAATAACCTGATGGTTGCGAGGTCTCTGTAAACGGGAAATAATTTTTGTAAAATTAAATGACAAATAATTATAGTAACATGACAAATACAACATAAACGCTTTTTTTAGATAATTTTTAAATAGCCAGAATTCTAATATTTTATTCAATCTTAAGTAATTTGGCTTTATAATCTTACTTGTGGAAACTTTTGTTGGGGAAATGTTTGAAATTTACCAATAAATTTTAAATTCACTATGGTTATCGTTCTTATTTTGTGATAATGTCAGCTTTTTGGGGTTTTTTTAAACAATAATATTCGCCACTACAAGGCCCAAGAGCCACTTAATATAGAGACTTACTGTGTGATGTAGTATTTGTATAAAAATAGCAAGAAGTAATGTTCTTGGGTTTATGCAAGAAAGATAACAGCTATCTCTAGACTTTGAAGAGGTCAAAATTTAATTAGAAAATGATATTTCACAGTTCAGTCGGAGACATTAGAAGCGTTGTAGTGTTTAAGTAGATTTTAGAAGCAACCGGAAATCCAATCATGTGCAGGAAACAAGGGATAAACCTCATGTTCAAAAGACTAAGGAGGAGTATGAACCGGACGATCAGGCCGCGTATTGAAGTACATATTTAAATTTATACAAACGCGAAAACAGAATTCTTTTTAAAATTCTGAGGTCACCTAATTGTGGTAAATCCTTTCCATTTATAATTGGTTAATATAGTGTTTATGTAATAACACTCTCCTTTCAGCACTACAAATAAAATCAGCATTTTAAAACATTTAAACGTATCAATTATTCTAATTAAAATTTTAAAAAGTGAAAATAATTCTTTTTAAAATTTATTATTCGACGATTTTTTTCAAGGCAATAGGCGTAATATTTTTTTATTCATAAAGTCAATTAAAAGGATTTCTTTAACTGGGAATCCTATTTGACCATAAAAATTGGGTAATTAAATTCTACGCGGATTTTTTCTTAGAACTCGTATACGAATCGCTAGAAAAATAAATTCCTTGAAATTCCATAAGATTAAATATGCGTGGGGTAACAAAAGTTAAGAAAAAAGAAATATATATATTTTTACCAAGATTTTCTAAATATTTTTAAAATAATTTAATATATTTTTGAATAAGTCTTCATAAAAGTTTCATTAAAATCCAACAATTACCTGATTTTTTAAGAATTTTCAAACCAATTTTTACCAGAAATAGACGCTCAAATTTCCCAAAATAATTTACGGTATCTTGTTGACGCTAGACAAACAAAATCTTTAACTAAAATTTTGAAAGTTCTAAAAGTGATTAAGGAGTGTGTATAGTAGTCGTATTAGTAGCAGCAGTAGTAGGCATTTTTATTTACGTTTAGTGATTGTCTTCATGTTAATTTGGCGACGTTTTTATGTAACGCCGGTTGTAGTAATAGTAGTTTGGTAGACATATCTTAGATTCTGGGCTAAGGTATTCAAATTTGAATCCATCTTGAATTACGACTACACTTATATAAAAACCAACGACAGGACGGTAAATGCAGACATACAAAAATTCCATAAAACAGCCAAGAAACTGTTAAAATTATGAAAACAAATTCAAATGAGTAATAATGTATCATCATACGACACTCAAACTATACAGTTTACCCAAGATACACAAACCCAACTTACGCATCAGATCCAGCGTCAACAGTGCACTCACACACACAAACTAGCTAAAGCAATTACAAATGTCCTAACTCTTAGGCACCATTAACCTAGCATATATTATGCACTCTGGTAATCTAATCCAGAAGATAAGAAACATAAACATGGAAAACAAGATTTACGCTAGCTTTATGAAATAAAATGCATGCAATGTAGAAAAGGTTACATTGGCGAAACATCTCGGAATCAAAATCTCGAACATATGAGAGATCTATGATCGGATAACCGTATAAACTCATTGATGCACAGGTACGAAACTGGCCATAAATTGGATTTTATAATTGCCACCCTAATTTGAAAAAAAAAACGTAATTCTTCACGGAAGAAATACTTCGAATGAATTCTGATAAATATTTTAGCATCTATAAACACAAGCCAAAAACATTATATTACATCACCAACATTTATATTTAAAGAATCTAAAATATGTCTCCCCACTACTTCTTCTACTACTACTATTGCTGCTACTACTGCTACTGGTATTACAACATACAAACAACGACTAAACATAAATAAAACTATTTACTAGACACGCATACAAACGAACGAATATACATTATGATCGGAATCCTCTACAGACATACTAGAATTATGACACATTAACACACAAAAGTATACACAAGAACACTGCTTGACAAAACAAATGCATGTGAATTATGTTTGACCAATGAAAATCAAACAACCATTAAATTTTAAAATATCATAATTTTATCCTTTTCTTTCTTTTTTCATTCTTTGATGAAGTTTTAATAAAAGAGAAACGTGAGTGATATATAAAAGTTTTCAATTTGTTCATTATTCTATCATTTTTCGAATTCTGATACATATACATTCTGTGTTTGATCCCATTTAATATATATATATATATATATATATATATATATATATAATTATTTTTAAAACATATGATAATCATATTTAAAAAAAAAAAAAATTATTATTGAAGCTCTACTTCTGTATGGAGCACTGTTTTTTTAAATCTAAAAAAAAAATATACAAAACACTCCGGATTATTTACCTAACGTGTTCTTTCCTATTTTTCTACATATCTGCATACACACAAACACACACACACACACACACACACACACACACACACACACACACACACACACACACACACATATATATATATATATATATATATATATATATATATATATATATATATATATGAGGTATATTATGTTGCATTATTAAAAAAAAAACAATGGTTATAACATATAACATTGATACAATATACCTCTATTAGTCACCATTTTCTTTTATTTGTAAATGAAAAATTGAACAGAACTTTCCTTACAAACTGTTTTATGAGCAATATGCCGTATGACTTGTAGCTAAATATCCTTATCAAAATATTGATCAAATAATGTTTGAATCAGATGCGTTTTTATTATGCGAAGCTCGGCATAATGTAAAATAAATACAAACGATATAAGTCAAAGAAATATATATTTTTGAAATATAATTATTTTTCATGTTAACATGGG